CAAATGCTAAACTTTTTTGAGCTTGAAATATGGGTGCTCCTAACACCCTACAAGTTTTTTTTTTTAATCCAAAACTCCTAGAGTTGCTCTGTCGGTGAGATGGGTGGCGTATAAATTAAATAAATAAATTTAAAAAAAACACTTTATAGATTGGTGAAAATCTCATTGGGATACCCCCCCCCCCCCGTCAAGGACGGGACAGTCGGTTCAAATATAAAAACAGCGGAACAATTTTCGTGTCACATTCAAAATATTTTGCATAACAAAACGGTCCTACGTCCAATATATTTCATTTATTCTGGCAAAAAAATTGGCCCAGAAATAAAGTGTAAATGGGTCCTCCTCCTATTATTGTGGGAAAACTTTCTATTATTTTGATATGGCAAGGTAGATGTGGATGGGCGTTGTGCTTGAATGTGATAACTCCTGTTAGTGTTTCTCAACTTTGGACCCTTTAAGATGTGGGGAGTTCAACTCCCAGAATTCCCCAGCCAGTTGAACTCCACGTACCTTAAAGTGGCCAAAGTTGAGAAACACGGCTTTCTACGTTTATCCAGGTCACCTTCCAAAGACACGAAAACCGTTTTCATGATAAGCTTTGTGTGTGGTGTGTTTGTAAAAGTCATTTCAGTCATTAATGTTTGTCACCAATTTGGGTGCTCAGCTCTACCTAATGGAGACTAAACACTTTGTTTAAATCCCTTGACGTCATCGCTCCCATCTTTAAGATTGTCCAATGTCCATGTAACCCTTATTTCCATGTTTTATGCTATTTCCTTCCTCCTCTAAAGATCCTTGGGGATCTTACCCCTTAGCTGCTGAAACCCAGCTGCTTTGACCTAGAAATCTGCTTGCTCCTGCATGTTTATGCCTTGCATGCGTTCTGTGTTGTGTTTGTGTTGTGTTGTGTTTTTGTCTCCTTTTCACTGAATGCTTCATATCGTCCTGGAAAGGAAGAAACCGTCTAAATATCATCCACTCCGGCCCAGTTGCTGCAACACAGCACTGCATCTGTTTCCTTGCAAAAGTAGAAAGAGGTTGGAGCCTGGTTTCAAATTTCAGTTGACAGAATGCCGGTTTAGTCTTAGCCCTGATTAAGCTGGATAGCATTTTAAATCTTAATCATAGTTAGGAAAAGTGGTCAGTTAACACCAGAAGACTCACACAATCCACTCTAGACCCCTGAATTAAGGAACGAGATATGTTACAGCTCATTGCCTCCTTCCTTCCTTCCTTCCTTCCTTCCTTCCTTCCTTCCTTCCTCCCTCCCTCCCTCCCTCCCTCCCTCCCTCCTCTACCTACCATTATCCTTCAGTCCACCCTCCCTCTCCTTCCTTGGTCTTTTCCTTCTTTCCCTTCTCCATGTCCTCCCTCCCTCCCTCCCTCTCATTTCTTCATCTTTTCTATCCTTCCTTCCCTTCTCCATGTCCTTCCTTCCTTCCTTCTTCCTCTACCTACCATTATCCTTCAGTCCACCCTTCCTCTTCTTCCTTCAACTTTTCTTCCTTCCTTCCCTTCTCCATGTCCTTCCTTCCTCCCTCCCTCCCTCCCTTCCTTCTTTCTCTACCTACCATTATCCTTCAGTCCGCCCTCCCTCTCATTTCTTCATCTTTTCTATCCTTTCCTTCTCCATGTCCTTCCTTCCTTCCTTCTTTCTTTCCTCTACCATTATCCTTCAGTCCGCCCTCCCTCTCCTTCCTTCAACTTTTCCTTCCTTCCCTTCTCCATGTCCTCCCTCCCCTTTCTTTGTCTTTTCCTTCCTCCCCCTCCCCATGTCCTTCCTTCCTTCCTTTCTTCCTTCCTTCCTTCCTTCCTTCCTTCCTTCCTTCCTTTTGTTTTTCCTATTTATACAGCTGCCCCAACTCAGACAGTGTGACTCTGGGTGACATACAATACATGCACGCGCACACACGCACATATATGTATATATACACAGACACTCACACTCACACACATATTAATAGTGACTGCAAAAGTAAACAGTGCCAGGCAGCTTGGGTGCAATCCCAAAACATCTGGCGCACCACCTGAACAGCCCCGGCATTGACGAAACTGCCCTCGGGTCAATTGCGAAGGGCAGCTTTTGTTTGGGACCACTTCCGTTTTGCAACGAAGACCTTCGGGCATCAACCTCTCTGCCTCTCCCGGCTCCTTTGGAAGGGCTCGACTGGCGGACAGAAATCCCAAGCCCAATCCAAATATCCTCCTGGTGATTGACCTAATATTGTCCAGTTGGCTTTCCTGCCCAACGTGGAACTGGAACTCACCGTCTCCTGGCGATTGGCCCAAAGCCCCCCCCCCCTCCAGACAGCTTTCATGCCTAAGGCGAGACTAGAATTCACCGTCTCCTAGTTGCTCGGCCAGCACCGTAATCACCCTACCGAACGTTTGATTTTTGTTGTGCAGACCGTTTTGCTACCGATGGGGCCTTGGCAATGCCAGCTCTCTCCAGCACCAGTTTTTTACTCTCTTTCTTTTTTCTTTTGGATTGCTTTCCATCTCTTGGCACTTTTGTCCTGGGGATGGGGGGTGGGGGGTGGTGGCAGGGCTCTCCCAGCATAATGGATCATTGTCTGGCCCTGCTTTGTTCTCCACTTCCCCTCTTACATCACAGTGCCTGGCCAGCCAAGACGTTTTCCCCAGCCCCCGAACAAAGGTTTTAGCTCTGGGGTAAGGAAATCGCCTGAAACCAGATCCGTCCAGCCAGCAACCCGAAACCATGTGTCTCCGCCCGTCGCATGCAGCGAAAGGAAATTGTGGGTTTAGGCTCCTCCTTCCAAATTTACGGTTCGCGGCAGGTTTTCTGGTTGCCTGTTGTCGTAGGTTCACGGCGGTGGCTAAAATTATTGTTTTGGAAGCACCAATGTGCTTTTTAGCTGCAATTAACACACCCAACTCTTAGTCCCCAGCAGATTTACAGCAATGCAGTTTTGCACAACTGGGGAAGGACCGAGTTAATAGAATAGAGGATAGGATAGGATATTGGAATGAAGAATAGAATAGAATGGAGATGGAATAGAATAGAATAGAATAACAGAGTTGGAAGGGACCTTGGAGGTCTTCTACTCCAACCCCCTGCTTAGGTAGGAAACTCTACACCACTTAAGACAAATGGTTCTTCTTAACAACTGTTGAGCGTTGGAGTATTCACAACTTCTGGAGTAAGTTGTTACATTGATTAATTGTTCTAACAGTCAACTCAGAACTAAGGAGAAATTTCCAGAACAATTAATCAGTGGAACAGAAGTTGCCTCCAGAAGTTGTGAATGCTCCAACACTGGAAGTTTTTAAGAAGATGTTGGAGAACCATTTGCCTGAAGTGGTGTAGGGTTTCCTGCCTAAGCAGGGGGTTGGACTAGAGGACCTCCAAGGTATCTTCCAATTCTGTTATTCTATCCTATCCGTCCTAACTCAGTTGTGCAAAACTGCATTGCCATAAATCTTCTGGGGACTAAGGGGTGGGTGTGGGTGTGTACACACACACAACAGGGGGAAGGAGAAAGGACCCCCCGAGACGCCTTCAGCTTTGAAACGGAGATAAGCATCGCCCCCCCTAGAGTCAGGAACGACTAGCACATATGTACAAGGGGAACTTCTACCTTTCGTGGGAGCTGTAGTACTGCACCTGGGGAGATGAGCAAAGTTGAAGGAAGTCGGTGTGGACATTTGCTATTTATTAACCCTGAATTATATTTTTAAAATTGCATCCCGCTCTCCATGGAGCGGGAGAAGGAGGCCAGCTGGCATCTAGTGATGGTTTTGGAAGCTTCCAGGAGAAATTGTGGAATTAATTTTGCAACCCGGACGGTCCCAACGTGTTTGCGTTGTCTTTGGTGAAGGTTTTGTGTACTGTGTATAATCGACATTGGCTGCTTTCTTTTATTTTTATTTATTTTTTCCTCGCAGTAATTACCACCCGCTTTTCTCTGGCTTGGCTGAGCTGAGGCTCTCCTCTGCGGTGGCTTTTTGTTCCTCAACATTATTAAAACTGCCGAAAGATTAGGCAGAATGTCCTTCATTCCCTTCAGAGGATCTGCGGTCCCCTAAATGATATTCTGGGCGTGCTCCGCCCTTCATTTGAACATTTGCTGAATGTCCAAAAGCTTCACCTCTTTCTCTCTCTTTGATCCACAGAGCGACGACCGATCCACCATCTCACCGAATTCACCCACTTCTCAAACAGGTAAACAAGGAAGTGGCCCAACGGCAGATCCATACGGAGATCAAGGGGAGGGCCCTGCTCGGGATTCGGGATCTTGTTGGGATGATCATACGGGTGGACCTCGACTTAACGACCGCCCTTGAGCCCCAGGTTTCTGTCGCTAAGCGCAGAAGGTTAAATGAATTTTAAGCCCCGTTTTACGACCTTCCTTGCCGCAAGCGGGTGACTGAATCGCTTGCTGTTGTTAAACGAGTCGTACGGTTGTTAAGCGAATCCGCCTTCCTCATCGGCTTTGCTTGTCGCAAAAGGGGATCGCACGATAAAGGCAACCGTCATAAATACGAGTCAGTCTGCCTTTTGATCGCGTGACCCTGGCGACGCTGGAACGGCCGTAAGTGTGAAGAAGGGGTCCCGTCCTGTTTTCCAGGGCCCTTGTAACTTCCAAGCGGTCACAAAATGAACGGTTGTAAGTCGAGGACTGCCTTTAATGAAATTGTCCATCACTCGGCCTGAGGGAGAGAGAGAGAGAGAGTAAAGTAAAGCAAAGTAATAAGTAAAGTAAATACCTTTTCACCTCGTCCTTGTGAGTTAATAGGAGACCAGCTAATGTCTAAAGGGAGCCTTGTTCCCTGGTTGGCTCCTTCCCTGCTTCTCTCCCACGGCCCTCCCCAGGGATGGGCTTTTCTCCCATAGCAGCCATCTCTTACCACCCCCAACCCAAATCCTCTTCTCTCCATATTTATTTTCNTCCGGGTCCACCGGTGGAACCTCTTTTAACTGGTTCGGTAGATTTGACGAACCGGTTCTACCGAATAGGTGCGAACTGGAAGGAACCCACCTCTGTTTCTGACCCCGTCCTTGGTTGACCCTCCGGCTGAGCGATTTCTTTTTTCTTCTTTCCAAAGCTCAAGGCGTCCCACAGTCCACGGAAGCAAAACACCCTGGAGAACGAGGTAAGCCTGGACGAACGTCCGTTGCCCTTTTCGTTCCTTGGACTAAAAGCTTCCTAGGCAGATGATTTGACCCCTTAGGTCTCTGACGAGAAGCCCGTTTCCCGGGAAATGCCCCCCCCCTGCCCTCCCCATGGTGCCAGTGGAACTGCCCGAAAAGCAAAAAGGGCCATTAGGAAAATGCAGCAATTGATCTAACAGGGCTGCCTTTTGTTGGGACGTGTCCCCCTCCTCCTCCTGCCTTGGTTTTGAATCTTTCCTGGAAAGGACAGAGAAGGAAAGTTGGAGCGGATAATAAAACCGGGCTCAGTCAAGAGAAGACGCCAGCGATCGTTCCGTTGGGACTCTGCAGCCTTTTCATTCAAAAGAAACGCTCCTGAAATCTAGGCTGGTTGGCCACTCGCCCCCTGGCTGGTCCATTCACATTGTTTGAAACCCTTGAAGACGTTTCACGATCCAGCTAGGCAACAAAATCAGTGTTAGAAGGGAGTAAGGATCACTCCCTTCTGGCACTGATGATGTTACCTACTTTGGTCGTGAAATGTCAGCAAGAAAACAGTCAGGTTCAGAGAGCACCAAGGACGACACAGCCCTCCTCCTCCTCTTCTCCTTTCCCCATTTCCTTTTCCTCCTCTTCGGCCCCTCCCCTTCTCCTCCTCCTCCTCCTCCTCCTCCTCCTCCTCCCACCCCTCCTCCCACCCAAGCCCTGCTCTCTTCCGGCACTGATGATATTATCTAGTTGGGTCATGAAATATCTGGAAGAAAACAACCAAGCTCAGAGAACACCAAGGAACCCCACAGTCCTCCTCTTCTTCTTCTTTTTCTTCTCCTCTCCTCCTCCTCTTTTGCTTCTTCTCCTTCTCCTCCTCCTCCTTCTCCTCCTCCTCCTCCTCCTCTCCTCCTCCTCTTCTGCTTCTTCTTTTTTTCTTTTTCTTCTTTTTCTTCTTCTTTTTCTTCTTCTTTTTCTTCTTCTTTTTCTTCTTCTTCTTCTTCTTCTTCTT